ATCAGTTCAATTTATGTCCAAATTGAATTTCATGTGTTCTTATTTTTGAAATATTGCAGTTCTGAAGTTGCTGAAAATTGTGTGCACATTTTACTTGCAGATACATTACAATTTTATCAATATTTTCTACTATAAACCTCCAGCAGTGTGTGTCTTTGTTGTACTCAAGTACATCAAGGAATGCAGTATAAACTCAGATCTCTTTATCTGCAAGGAAGTACAAATTCCATTTTGTCAAATAATTATGTATCAATCATGCTTACCCTTTATAACGCCACTGGGTTTATTTCAAACTTGCAAGCTGATGCATAAAAGAATTACGTTTTTCAAACAAGCACCCTTGGATGAAAACTTGAGTACTTATTTTATATTGTACCTTTGGATGAAAACTGGAGTACCCATTTTATATTGTACCCGTAGTGCGTGATCCGGTGTTATTATTAACATGAGTTGCATTTTTTTCAAATTTGTATGTTTACTGTACATCTAAAAAAAGAAGATATTTATTTTTTAAAAGCACCCGCAGATTTAAGACCCGTATACCTGTTTAATTTTACTGCTGTACCTACAGTGCGTACCCAGAATTTCACTGCTTTATATTTACGTGTACTGTACAGTGTACAGTATTTATTTCTAATTCGTATTCTTTGAATCTTTACAATTCTTTTTTTCTTCTTTTCGAATTGCTCGTCTGGATGAATACCCGAGTGTAGAATCTTTTAATGCTCTACTGTAATATTTGTGTGAATGTTCACATTCGCATGCTTTGAAACGTTTACAAAAAAATACTTCAATCATAAATATTCCGGTAATTTGTTTATGAGTACCCGTGGACGATGAAGACCACAGGTTCCTCGTTTTTTTATTATTGTGCTCCCCGCGTATTTCATTTACGTGAGCATTTTATTTTTTCAAATCTGCGTCTTCACGATAAAAAAAAAGATTACAGTACAGTACTGTACTTAATAATTATAGTACTTCTTTTCAAGCTGCACCCGGCGTGGCTGATTAGGACCAATGAACCCCACTGCCCGTGTTTTATTGTGTTCTGTACCCCTCCAAAGAATAGTACGTGCGTCTCTCCTCTTAAATATGTGCTGTACTGTATATACTGCTGTACTCGGGATATCCCAGCACTTGACGTCAGTCAGTCTGGGCCCAACTACTGTACTGAGAAGTTCGCGTGTATATCGGGGGAGGGTTTTGTGTGATGGTGGGTGTTGTATGCTTGGGTCGAGCCAGACGCGTTGACAGCCCGGATCTGCGGGACCCGTGCCAAAGGTTGCAACAGTTGAATGAGCGCGGTTCAATGAACTGGGGTTTCGCTGTGTGGTACAGTATATATATACAGTATACTGTATACACGGGTTCCCTGCGCTGCGAAAAACCCAGCTGTTCCCTCACTCATCGAGGACCAGGAGTATGTATGTGTGGATGAAAGCAGCTTGTAAGAAACCGGAAGCAGAAGAAAAAAGGGCTGCCGATTTTCTGACGGATTTCATCCCCCCTTTTCTCATTTTCTCTCGACTTGAATGTGGGCAATTGGTTGTTTTTTTTTTGGGTACCCGGTGTATGGATGAGGGGTTTTCTGAAAAGTATGGTAGATCAGTGTTTCTTAACTGGTGGTCTGTGGTGGGGTTTCTTGCTCCTCCACAGGGTATTTTCTTCAGCATCATTCATTTTTTTAAATAGCAATTAAGTCTGTTATATTTTAGTGGAATTTTGGAAAGATAATATATGGCAGTTGATATTATCTGATGAAAAATAAAAGTTGGCTTTTTTCTCCTCATAACGCTTCAGACCAATTGTCACCTGCTGGAATTAATTTTTCATTCTGAGAAACCTTTCTTCAAGCCCATCTGTCCAACTTCTTGAAGAAAATTCCACTGATGTACTGTAGCTGCTTCAATTGGTTCCTAGTTTAATTTTTGCAAAAAATCAGAAACTTTCAAGTTCTTGCCTTAAAATCCGTCAAAACAAAGTTTTTTGAGTCTTGCAAAAATTGTTTGAAAGTTTGCCAGTTGGCTGAACATTTTTGGGAAATTTGCTGGTCCACAAAAAATGTCAACAAAATAACAGTTTTTGGCTGGAGAAAGAAATGTGTTCCTCATGCTGAACAATAATTCATATTATTTTTATTTTTTTTATTTTTTGGTCGATTTTTGAAGCAGAGTCTCATTACAATAAATCTTGATACAACAAGTTATTGCTTGCAGGAAATTTATTTTAGTGTAATTTGGATTTCTTTTCATGTGTTCTTATGTAATTACATTATTTGGGGTCTTGATGGTTTGCTGTAATGAATTGCTATCACCTTTCAAGCCTCCACCCATCATTATTACCAACTTTTGGTCTAGTTTGAAATTGATTCATGTAATTTTCTGCCAAATAATCCCTTTTCAAACCTCCTCAAATCATCTTACATAACCTAATTTTCCAACAGTATGAAATTTATTCATGTAATTTTCTATCACCATTTTTAAATTTTATGAATAGTGGGTTAATTTTTCCACTATATAGAGATGGGTTCCTAATTTGTGTCAAGTCCAATTCAATTTCCAAACTTCCTGAACCACATGAATTAGGGGTCCAACTTTATCTTTCTTGAAATTATCACCGTTTTTTATTTTTGTGTTCGCTGTAATGACATTTATCTTCTACGAATTGCTGGACTTTTGATAAGCCCTTGGTGTTTGTTTTCCGCTTTTCCCCCCACTTCCGCGAAGAAAACTGCCACCGGAAACTGCCTTCGTCAAGAGCTTCGTGTTTCCTGTCTCCCCTTGTTTCTCGTGCCGTCAATTAATATGCTGCTTTTTCTGGACTTGGTGAAACACTGTTGGAAGGGCTACTGACTTTTATAGCCCCCTTTTTTATTTTGAAAGCGCGTGTTAAATGCGTATATCGTACTTTTTTTGTACAGTACTTTGAAGCATGCCCAAGAAAATGCTATTTAACTCATTGACGGTTGATTAAACTATTGTACAGTCAACCCCCGATAAGATGCCACCATTTGTCCAGAGCAATTTTGGCGGTTTTAAGAGGTTGGCGGTTTATTGAATATTTAATTTTAATTATTTGATCAAAAATACTCTATTTTCCTCCAAAAGTCCCAGAGATACAGGTTATATATAGAAACTTCAGTAATTTTCCAAAGAGTATTGCTGTGGTCAATGGATTACTCTATCAGAAAATAAATTTTGCTGCATCAATTTATTCAAATTTTAAGATCAGGTCAATGTATTTTTCCCAATTTTCAACAATATTATGTTTTCTTACAAATACAAGATCCTTGGCAGAAATTATAATTCTACCCCAATGTTGGCATTGTAACAAAGACAAAACTAATTGGAAGCAGCACTTTTGTTTCTTCAATAATGCTGGTTTAAATAATGCTGGCAGTTGGCGTCTTATTGAGGTTTTCTACAGACTTGAACAAAGAGGAGATTTGTTTCATTCCAAATTTTGGCGGTTGCCAAGGGTGGCACTTTATCAAGGGCGTCTTAACAGGGTTTGACTGTAATTGAAACTTGCGCAATCTGTGAATTGGTTTGCAAACAATTCTGCCATGAATATAAAGCAGGATTTCTTTACAAAGAAGCTTTTGGGACCTTGAAAAAATGCTTCGTTAAAATAGCAAAATTAAAATAACATTGCGGCTATTGGACAGGGACCAAGAATAAAATTTGTTGTAAGCATTATAATGCGTTATAATTATATTCTACCGCATGAGCTTTCAAATCATATGATGCAACATTGTTCTGGCAGCAGTTGGGAGGTTTTTTGTTGTTGTTTAATTGAAGGCAAAGTGTATGTTCAATGAAATTACTGTACAGTAATTTAAATATAATTTCAAAGCTTTCATTCATCCATCAGATGTGGTTGTTTCACTTGAGCATTTAAGTAGTGATGGAAAACATCATTATGGCCAAATAATGCAGATAATACAGTACAGCAGTATAGAGTCTTGTTACAAAAAGCAAGTAATGAGACTTTTTCTTTCTAAATACTTGTTTCTAAGTCCTGTCCAGTATATCCAAAATTTTCTTTATGCTGTACAGTATTTTCTTTATAACCAATTATTTTTTCATAACAGAATGTTTCCTTGCCGCTCCCATCAATGGATTTCTTTAAAAAGATTATTGCAGAATATTCAAAATGGGAAATTTTTGGGAGTTGAGAAATTCTTAACATGATATAACAATGATGGAGGAATAATTTGCCTTAGTTAGTTAATGGTACATTACCTATCATTCTACTGTACAGTATCATTCAGTATGTATATTATTTTGAAGGATAAATTCACTTTTTTTAATTGCCCCAACATCATATGATGGAAGGCACTTGATTAATTTGGGATATCTTTCATGCTGATATTCTATATGCAGTAAAAAAAAATGTTGGAAGCAAAGCAATTGCTTGGACCAGGGAAAACAATTGTTAACATTTAAAAAAAAGAAATGAAGATTGTCTATATAATGGACAGGGAAGTAAAAACGATTTTTGTGAGCATTATAATCCAATGTGATATATTTTTTAATGAGATTCTGCTGTAGCGTATTATCTTCTAGCTCCGTTTTTAATTGCCAATTTTGGAAACTTTATATTCTCTGGCATACATTTGATCATCAGTTCAACATAGAAATTAGGGAGAATGAATTTATGAAGGATAAGTTCACTTTTTTAGTATTTGCTGCAACATAATATGATGGAAAGGCATTTCCATATATACAGAGCAGTATTGATATGTTCCCTGGAGAAGCTCACCGCAGTTAACAAGTTTCTGAGTGAGGGAGGGTTCATCAGAGTTGGTCAACTCAAAAGTTTGATTGACATGCATTAAACAAAAGTTTTTAAAATTCAATAAAAAGAAGAGAGTGTGGCAGATGAACTTTATTCAGGAAATGAATTGATTTTTTCTGGCTTTTCTCAATTTTCCATCGAGTGTAAATCCATGTGAGGAATGATTTGAATCTTAATTCATTTTGTATGGAGTGACACCTATGAGACAGAGATCAGCTTTTCAAGTACCATTGCATCTTTCACGTTTCGCCACAGATGACGCTCCAGCCGAAGATGCTTCCTCGGGCAGCTCCAGACGCGGCAACACCCGTCAGCCGCCGCCGCCAGCATCAGCAATAATGCCGACCATCACACCTTCGCTCATCAGCGTGGCGCCCACAGCCGTGCCATCGTCACCTGGCGGCAGGGACTGCGTGTCCGGGGGGCGGCGTTTTGCCCCCGGCTCCCAATGGCACCCCGTGATCGGGCCATTTGGCGAGATGGAATGCGTAGAGTGCGCCTGCGAAGGCGGTCAGATCTCGTGTCACCGGCTGCACTGTCCCTCTGCGCAGGACCTCGGGTGTGCACCGCAGGACCTGGTCAAAGTGCCTGGCCATTGCTGTCCCACGTGTCCCGAAGACTATGGTATTATTGTCGCACCTTTGATGCCGCATGCTGGTATACTGTTGGATGACTATTATGAAGTAGATGTGTTGTACGCTTGATCCCGTATCAGATCGTTCGTTCCCGGGACAAACGTAGGAAAGGTTTTGCGTGTGTGCGTTTTTATTATGCTAGAATCTAAAATTAGAAATTTATGTGTGTATTACTTGGTGCAGTCAAACCTCTCTACATCAAATGTCAAGGGACCAGCAACAAAATTTGGTTTAGGAAGGCTTTGAATCATAGAGGGTTGAGCTACAATACGAAGTCCTTTTGTTCTGGGAATCATGAAAAAATTGCCCAACATTATAAATGGTGATATTTTGGGGCTTAAATTGCTTCTTAAAGGAGTTGAAAGGATGCTGAACTTGGAGGCAGGGGTTCATTTGCCCAATTAAGTCTGTCACTTTTTTTTTAAACACATCAATTTCTGTTTTATTGCTTTTCTCTTTCTTGTGTCTAAAAATAATAGCCAACAGGTCACAGAAAATTCAACTTATGTAGGTTTGAGGGGAAAAGACTTTGACTTAGGTAGGTTTTCAATGTATTAATTCCAAGGGGATTCAGAAGGAGACCTGAAAAAAATTTGACTTAGGGGGGCATTTGACTTAAGGAGGTATGAGTTATCAAGGTTCAACCATACTTGATTCCAATGGGAAATTTTAAAGTAAGTTTGACAACAACAAAAAACTTCTTTTAGTGGAAAATAATTGGAAATTAGTTGAATTCATTTTCAATTGTTTAAATTCGAATGTGGGTGTTGATAATTCAAATTCTTGAATTATTTTGGTTTCAAAGTCACTAAAATGGGGTGCGCATCTTACTAGGATTTATAAAAAATTTCTAAAACCCCATTCTGTGTCTTACTTATTGAGATGCGTGGTACTTGAGTAAATACAGCATTTATCTAACAAAGTCTTTTTGTGGGACCCCTAAATATAAAATGTAATATGATCCTTTATCTGTTATTTTTAGACTCCAAGACTCAATTTTTAACTGCACAGAAAATATCTTGATCTTCATCCATTTGTCAGCAAAGTGACACTACTTACAAACCATCCAGTCTGTATCAGAATTATGTCGGGTACAATAATGCTTCTTGTATGAGCATTGGTGTAGCCAAGTGATGCATTGGTTGTTGTAGGAGAAAATTAAATGTTCTGCGTGTTTCCAATGGTATTCAATGTACTGCATCCTAAACTTTGACTTGCTTGGTATTCCCCGAAAATATGGACTAATTGTCAAATGAGCCTGGGCCAGATCTTCATCTATATATTCTTGTACAAGACTTTGGCTTAACAAAAGCACTGTTCAACAGCATTTCTCCAGAATTGTGAAAAATATCAGATTGCTTGAACCTTGTGAATGCTGAAAAGCGGATAGTAAAGCTTGCTGTTCAATTCAATTCAATTTAATATTAGATTTCAACTGAGCTTATTCTATATTAGAATTTAGTCCTTTAGTTTCTTGAGCTTTTTGTGCAAAAAGCTCTGCAAAAAATGTACCAGTGTCTGTAACTGTAAAAAATTCCAAAAATGTACCACTTATTTTTCATAAAGAAAATCTTGAGAAAAAAACAATAAGATAAAATCAGCCTTATTTTTGGGGAAATTATGTAGAGTTTTTGTGGTTGTTCTGAATCTTTTTACTTCTTCACAGGTAGCATTTGAATATAACCAGTTGTCGTGAACACTTTAATGTTTAGCCTCAAGCAGTATTTCAATTTTAGCAGGATGTGTAGCAAGGTAGAGGCCATCTTAGTGCTTTGAGTAAGTTTTGAATATTTACAACCAAAAATGAGTATGTTTTGCAATTTTTTTACTTTTTCTGCAGATGACTCAAGGGCTAGATCAAGAGAGGAAAGCAGCAGGAACAATGCTCAAGGCCTGTCTCATGAACAAGCACAACCACCCCCAGTACAAGAATCAAAAACTACGGAGAAAACTGGGCCTAACATCAAGACTTGTGCCCCTGCAGGCACAGATGTCATTGCCTACTTGTTGACCAATGTCAATCCAAATGGATCAGTGTCTGTAACTGTAAGTCACATCTGTATATATATTTAAGTTATTTCCCAAAGAATAAGACTTATTCTAACACTTCATTCAATTTCCACATTCCCTTCAAGTTTAGGACAGGCACCTATACAGTTCTGCAAAGTTTGGACAAATTATCCTTCAATGCAATAATATTTTTTCTTTGTTTGTTGAGTATTGAATCCTATCTTAGATTCAAAGATGCTCATGTATAAAAGGATTGCACACGTAATGCTCATTCAAAATTTCTTGCAATATTATATTTACTTTAGTGCCTTTTGTCTCATCTTTGAGAGGATAAAGGGGTGCATGTCATAGAGACAGGTATACATCTTTTTAAAGTTTTAGAAATTTAGACATGCATTATTCTTGATTCTGATGGGAAATTTAAAACCAAGTTTGGCACAGAAACTTATGTATTGAAAAAAATAAAAATTAGTTCAATTCATGGCTAAATTCAAAGTTGGGTGTTCTTGTTTTTGAAATATTGTGGTTCTAGAGTCACTAAAATTGGGTACATGGTTTACTTAGGGATAGAATTAATAAAATAATTATTCAACTGAGAACCCCTGGTGTACATCTTACTTGAGGGCACAGGGCACCTGAGTAAATATAAGGTACTGTAAATTTAGATGTAAAGTATAACTTTGTCTATAAACAAGATGCTGTGCTCCAATTGCGATCAAATGAATGCTTTGGATCTTGGCTAAAATAATATTTATTGGTTCAGTATTTGCATTTTATTTAAATTAAAAAATAATCATGTTTTTCTTCTTGTGGCATTATAATACTGCAGTTGTTTGAAGGTTTCGGGCTTCTCACATACGTTATTTCAAAATTTTCCTTTCAGTACATATTTTACAAGAAGGACCCAAAGCCGTTTTCCAAGCCAATTGAGCGACACAAGTGGACTTGGGAGAAAAGTGTCGGTTCCCACAAGATGGAGCCCCACCGATTTGAGACTTTCTATGAAGGAATAGAAGCTCTGCAAGAGTTGAAGGAAGACTTGTCACTCAACATTCTTGGAGCTACCAGCACAAGTGAGTTGCTAGTCTGTGATGTTCTCCAGAATATAAAATCAACTAATAATTTGATGATTAATCCGCAGAGTATTTAGAAAGGTTTACAAAAAAGGAGAAGAAGGTTGACTCTGGGTGTGAAAAGCGGTGCCAACGGAGGATAAGGAAGATGGAGACCTTTCTGAATCTGCGTCCAGTGAATTATCGCAGGCAATGTTTGGACACTGAAACAACACTCTCGTAAATTTCAAGCAAAAAAAAAACTAAAAGAACAGCGAGTTCAGCTAGAATCATACTGTACATTTTTCACTTGGGTTTTCGGAAATCTTGCAAGTCAAGAAATGCTTGATTTCGGGAGACGAAACGTTATCTTTCAATGATCTTTACTCGTTTTGGTTGAGGTCTAAGACTTGAGAGCGACAAAGAACACTTGATCCATTCCAGATTGCTTTTAAGCATTTTTTTGGCTGTCCGGCTTGTGCAGATAATTGTGGTGGTGCGGGCTAATGATTCCTTGAATTACTGCCTACAATTGGGAAATCTATGGTCAGCTTTGAAGTGGTTGAGCTCATGGGAAGAATACACTACAATAACTTGTGCTTCTTGTGATTTCAACTTTCACGGTTTGCTTTTTTTTTTCTAAGATCAGCTTTCATTTTCAGCATACTGACGACACGTCTGACCACATTCACAGATCCCGAATTCTCTGAAAACGCAAATGTGCTCACAAAATAATCACAATGGATATGTTTTACTCATATAAACGAAATCATCCCTTTCCTTCATTTGGGGTTTCTTTCCCTTAAAAAAAACTTGAAGTCAGCAAAATTTAAATCGTATATAAAGCAAAATGCTGAATAAATTAAGCACTGGTGTCATCAGATTCAGCGACTGAACAAAGCTATTAGATGTCAACGACACTAACGGCACACAAAGGAGCATTTCAGCGATTTTCTTGATGCCCGCAATATTAAAGCCACATAAAATAGTTTGTACAGAAAATACATTCTTGGTATTTTAAGACCACATGAACCCACGGTTGTCAGTTCCACTCCCTGGAGTTTTTCTTGAAAGATTAGTTTGCAAACCCTGCAAAGAAAAAATCAATGAATAAACAAACACAATCTGTAAGTTCTGAAGAACGAGTACAATTTTGCAAGATATCTAGGAAAGACTCACCGCTGGATCGTAAACCTTGCAGATTCCATCTCCGTTCTGCAGCGTTCTGTACATTGGAGGAGCTTCAATTGGTTCCTAAAACAAATCACAGTAAAATCACGTTATAAAGAAGCCAGCAAGATAGTTTTTTCGTGAAGAAAGATTGCTATAAACAGTTACTTTAACATCCTGGCTATTGGACAGGGACTTGAAAAACGACTTCTTCACAATCTCTCATTCATAGTGAAGAGATTTCACTGTAATAGAAAGGTTTAATGATGATGTCTAGGCACAAGTACTGCACCACGTTCTTTTTCTTCAAAAATGGAACCTTTTTACGCAACAAAGCCCTGACAGTCAACAAGAAAAGCCCTCAGGGCTAATTTTCAGGATTCATCCCACGACAGAAAATCGGAAATTCTGTTCAATCTGCAAAATTATGAAAACTGTACTGTACTCAGGAAATAGACGCACAAAATTAATCATCATGAAACAGCAGCAAAATGAGGAGAAAACAATGCGCAGCGCAATCACACATTTTAAAAGCTTTCTCTCAGTTGAAAAATAAATTGTTTTTAGCCACATTTCCCACAGCAACTTCATTCTTTTTTCAATAATTACTTTCCATACAGTTGACTTCACAAAGCAGGGTCCACTATCTGGATAAAAAGGATCTGGTGGCAGCCAAAGTATAGTACGTTATCCGAGGCGTGAAACCCCGAGTAAAAAATATTAACCGAAGGAACCCAGAATTAAAGGTTCCTTTCATTGCTCAGCATAAATGGCGTACCCCAAGAGGCAATCCTTTGCTGATTGGCTGTTTCTTTCCGTATTTCACCGCAACAGCAACGACTAGAAAAATTGTCACTCCTCCGACGACTGCCCCAATTAGAGATCCCATGATCACGTAGACCAGCTTCGGATCAGTACCTGCAATACAATAATCAATAGACGTTAAATGAAGTGTTCATTACTGTATATTCATCGATAATTCATCTTTAGGATGAAAAATACCACTGAGAGTGTACTTGCTGGAAATCATGATTCAAAATATTTCAAAATAACTACATTTCTTCACGAAGTTATACAACTAACACACTTGAAAAGATAACGGAAATCTACGAGCTCATTCAAGCATTTCATTCATGAAAATCCCAACAAATCAAAAATCGAAAAACGAGCTCCTTCAGAAAAAAATGACATTCACTCGATATTGATCGAGATTTTACGAATAATCTAATTCGGATTTTCTCGAGTTCTTTCGAGCGGGAAATGAAGTCAAGTAAATTAATTCCAGGTTAAAAAAAAAGAGAAATTTCACTGACTCGCAACAACCACTGGCAACATGGTGATGTTCTGCTTTGGCACAGTCAAAGTGGTGCCATCTGGCGTCACGATCACCAATGCTCCACTCATGATGATGTCCTGAAGAACTTGCTGTTGGAACTCCGACGTGACGAGGAACTCAATCACAGTCACATGATCAGATGCAGACGCTGGGAACGAAATGGGATAATTTATCTTGAAAATGGAATTCGTCGCCCAAAATTCGGATTGAAAAAGTGAAAAGATTTTTGTCTTCAATTGAATCAAATTAATCATATTTCCTGGAAATTTCACGGCATCCATGGATTTTCTCCCTCGACATGAACAGTTTATCCTACCCAGAACCTCCAATTAGCTTTCAAATTCCGTATTCAATCGAGTACCACACGCACCTTTTATTCAAAATCAAGTGGGCAAAAAAGATGAAAGTCACAAGCAGGTATACAATTTTTCAAAATTTTCAACAAGTTTAGGTGCTCATACTACTTGATCCATATAGAAATTCTTCAACGAACATTAAAAAAGACACTTTAAATGGAAACAATTCAATTTTGACTTAAATTCGATTAATTCAATTTGGGTTCAAATCAAGTCAAAATTGTGATTGGGACACATTTTATTTTCAAAATGTTCCCACTTTCATGTCACTAAGATTTTTGTCAAAGTTTAGGGCCAGAAAGCCAGGTGCGCGTCTTACACGAGGGTGCTTGGTGCTCGAGTAGATACGGGTAGTCTGATCAAGAGTACTGTACCTGAAATTTGAAAGTAAGGAACAAATTTTCACATCTTTTCCTCACATGCGGTAAAATGGAGATACGTAATGACTCAAATAAAACGACTGCAAAAATTCTTTGAACCTTTTTGTTTAAAATTAAATCCCTTACCAGCAGTTACATTTCCAGAAGCGGCGCGTTTCTTCCTCGAGCTACTTGAACCCGCGACACCCGAGGGAACTTTCGATTTTCTTCCGAGTCCATTGTTCCCGTTGTCTGCTGAGATCGTGGTTCTATTCTTACCCCTTTCCCCACCTTGAACAATGGAATAAAAATTTTTTTTTTGAAAAAGGCAAGTTCTTTTTATTCAATATCAGCAGGAGTCACCTCGTCTCGCGGCCCGTTTCCTCCGCTGCAACGACAGGAAGTGCTTCTCTTGGCACAAAGAACGACTGAGTTGATGCTTGATGAAAGCCGCGGTGGCATTCAAGCCGATGCTTTTCGAAATTTCGGTAAGATCCACGTCCAAGCTGGAACCAAAAACAAAAAGAGGATTCGACATTATTTTAGATATAAAAAAAATCAGCTTGAAATAAAATACTTCACCTGATCTGCACTCGAATTACGGAGGAATTCGTCGTAGAAGAGTTATTCTGTTGCAGCGCACTGCACTGACGTCGAAGAGATATTTTTCCGTCTTTCGTCAATTTGTACCTTGCATCGTTGTACTCGAAGACCCTGCGGAGAAGAGAAAAATACTTTTCAGACGGATTGGCGCAATTTGAAAATTAATTTAAATTTCAAGTTTGCAGAAAAATGCATTTAGTGGAAAAGACTTTCTAAAGCTAATAACTAAATCAAAGCCGGAATAAAAGTAGAGATCAATTGCTTTCACTCGTAATCATTTCCCATTTTCTTCTTCCCCATGTTCTTGTGGCTGTGGTTCAGTAAGTAATTCAGCTTCATAAAAACTTACAGGCGAAAAAATTCTAGAAAGAAGAGTTCATTCAAAAACCTGGAGCTGTTCTGTCCATATTCCATTGACATTTCAGATTCCATCAAAATCTAACAAATGATCTAGATTTTGCGTTACTGCCTCATTAAAATTTTATTTGATGATCTATAATTTGAGGCTTCTCGGTCAACCTGTGCACTTACACCAGACAGCATTGACCATCAAAAATGGGTTGCAAGAAGAATATAGCTCTATGCAAAATCGTTTTGATGAATCTAGACGTAGGTATCATCACTGTTGAATATTAATTGAAAAAAAAAATGTTCTGGAATGTCAACCAGGAGTTAAAAAAATAAAAAGTATGTTATCATTTGGAAATTTTCCCTATTTTCTGATGAAAAAATGTTTAACTCAATGTCAAACCCTTCCAGGCTCTGCCAATGGGATGACATGAAAAGAGGAAGAAAAGGAAGCAAGGATAACAATTGAATAAGAACTTATTCAATTTAATATTTTTTCCAAGAACCAGAGGCAAATTCCAGAAATCTAAGATAAAATTATAATCAATATATATATTATTCCTGGTGCTCTCCTGACCTGACCTTTGTAAAAATGACTCATCCCTTTCCCTGTCCTTCATACCTGTATCTGTCCTGCAATTAAGTATCTGCTCCAGGTACACAAATATGATATTTCCTCATACAGTAATATTTGTCCTTTCAGTATACGAGATTTTGAGCATATAAACCCCTGACGGATTCCTCCCGAACAGGCATTAGTGCAGTGGCTTTCTTGTGAGACTCCTGTGTAGGAAATCTCCATGTGTTTGCCCTGCCTCTGTCTTGCGCTGTTGTTGTTTGTGTACAAAAAGTACAATAAATGTTATTTCTATCAAGAAGGAAAACAACCAAGTCTTCCTCACAATTCACTTCCACATTAAAAAAAGTCACACACACTAAGAAGTTTTAAAGGTTAACAAGACTTTGAGAAATAAGGATAACAAGTAATACTGTATCACTGAATCTAAGCTTGATTACAATAACTCAACAGACCTCCAAATGATCAGATCTAAGAAAAATTTCCCCATCTCAGACATGATGATGTATAGCACAATTCAAGCGACATCTATGAGACGACAAAGAAAATCTCCAAATAAGGGACAATGGATCCCACGATGAGACCAAAAAGGTAGAGACGTACCCGACGTAACCACTCGCAAAACAGGTGCACTGAATCCTCCTTTTGCCTCCCTCTACAGTTTTCTTGAACCCTGTTCTCATGCACAAGGTGTCGTTCCAAGAATCATTTCTCCACAGAAGGCACTTCAAGGATTAAAAATAAGTCCACGTCAAAAAAGTTCAGAACAGATTTTCCAATTAAAGTAACGCAAACCTGCAGTCGGTTCTGATCAGAACTCGTTCCATTTATATCCAACAAAACATTGAACCCCGCAGGTGAGTTGGATCCATACGGCAAAGGCTCATCCTTCATCACATCAACAAGTTCTAAGGCGAATATTCCACTCCTGCCGGAAAAGAAAAGCTACAGTAAGATTTGCAATCCGATAACTACAACTTAATCGCGAGAAAAATTCCGTTCAATATTGTCCTCGAGAACATTTTGAAAGCAATGCCACTTTTTTTTCAACTGCTACATCACTTGATTCCTACGCGTTTCTAGGCAGACAAACAGTATCTGAGTAATATCAACTTCATATCTAATTTGTCTTCACATCAAAATGTTCCTTACAAATATTGCAAATAATTTACAACAATTAGGATATATTTCGTGGTTTTAATGCTTCCAACTTATCTTCGGGGAAATTAAAATTCGTTAAAAGTTGAAAAATTCCATGAAGTACCCCTTCCAAATTATGAGAAACATTTTGTAGATGGAAATTCAAAATATCCCGACAATAATTTTAAATGTCAACGTCTCAACGAGGCTTTTTATGAAGGAAGCACCGGCAATATTTTTATAAAATGCTGTCCCTTGCAGAAAAATCAAAGAACAGGACTAAAAAAAACAACTCATTGAAAATTACGAAAATATTCGGCACTTGCAATCCAGAGATTTATTTAGTCGCAGAGTTGTGCAAAATTTTTCATAAATTTAAATCGCATAATTCTCGTAACATCCCACGCTTAGAAAGAGCAAAAATAAATCACAGCAAAAATCAACCTATCAACTGTGCTGAAACAATTATCAACAATGAGCAGCGATCCATTCGTCTCATTAAAAAAATTTCACCTGGACGGAACCCCAGCAATTTTCATAGCTTTTGGGTCAATAGCTGGCCACACAGCTCGTGTAGACCCGAACAAGACAGGACACACCCACAGACAGGACAACTCATGGGTTTGAATGACAGCACATGACGGTTGTACTTTGGACAAACCCTAGAAAGAAGATCACGAAATACAGCTTTTTAGATTTCAATCAGCGAGGAAGGAATTAAAACGTGCAGGCCAGGCATTTGTCACTTTATTGTGGAGTTGACACTGTTTATTCGTGAATAAGACATAAACTATGCCCTAATCTGCATACTATGTGGTATTTGACACTCAGAAAGTAGTACTCGAACACGAAGATCTCTTCAAAGTGGAAAATAAGAGAAAAAGTTTAATCCAGGTTATCCTGGCAAAGGATTCGGTGCCGTCGTCCAAAGAATCAAATATCCTGGATGATGGAATAATATAAATAAATTTGAAAACATTTTGGAAACCGAATTCCCCCAATGTCGTAGATAATCTAGAAGAACAATCGCCCAGTTGATCAAATCAAAGATCATAAATACCTTGATGAAGCAAATCGTTTGAAGGTCCAATTATTAATGAGTGAAAACATGAAATGCATTCAAGAAAGGAAAACAAATTTCGGAAAAGGCCACTTGAGTTTGTAGAAAATCTGGAAGAACAATCGCCCGATGATCAAATCAAGGATCACAAATACCAAGAAAATGATTTAAAGATACAATAATGAATAAAAATATATAAAATTTTCGAAGTTCTACTGATAGGAAAAATTTGCACGAGGACAAACCTCATCCAGGCAACTGGTTTTCTCCGTGGTCACGATTTCATTTTGAATTTCGAGCACCGTCAACGTCGTGTCGGCCATAAGAACGGCAACAAGGAACAAAGCTTGAACGAAAAGCACGACACAGACTTCATTTCGCAACAGCTTCTTCAACTGCATTGCCAGCTGTTTCCCGGCCCGATAATGCATACCAGCCATTCACTTCTTGCCATCATTCAAATCTCACCAGGGACAAAACACCAGAGATGCTCCCGACATAGAAAGCTACAGTAAAATAAATTGCACCCGGAAAAAAAAATTAAGAAATCATTGAAATAAATATTCTTCAAAACAAGAGATGAAAAATTCGTCTTCTCACTCCAACGCCCTATTCGGTCACTTTATTTGCTATCACTTCGGTGTTGCCCGCATTAAAAAGTTCTTTCACCACTTCAAACCGATCTTACATGAGCAGAAATTCGGTCGTTCTGGTGGGCACGCACCATGGTCAGTTTCGGGGATCGGGCGATACCTGTCTGACCTTCTAGTAAGAAAGGACCGGGCAAGGACGCAATCAAAAAATATTCTTCTCACTGATCACCTTTTCGAAAAGCGTAAGAAAAACACAACTACAAATTTGGAACGAAAGCTATAGTTTCGTTGGCACTGCATCACCAGACAGGAATTAAATTGACCCAAGATCCCAATTTTGGCAGAAACAACTACCGTACTTGATGAATACCACGCACCCCCGCATTCAAGACCTTCGGTATCTCAATTTTTGAAAGGAACTTTTTGATACAAATCAATTCTTGCGTAAGACGCGCAACCCATTTTTCTGTGACACAAAAATCAATTTCTTCGAAGAAATTAATGCTAAAATTTAAAATGCAGAATACCGTAATAAATATTTGAATTAAATTGTGCCGCACCTATTTTGTTCCAATTTTCATGTGTCAGTCTGATTTGAGCCTTTAGTCTCTAAAAAATAATTGTTTTAAACTTGAATGTATGTTTTCAGAGTATAACGCGCACCACGGATGTACAAAATTTTAAGAAAATGCGCAAACCGGAGCACGACTCCAATCCCATCTTCTTAGTCTAATTTTTCTTCAAGAAAAAGAAGTCCGGATGGTACTCGAAAAAATACGGCAATCAACTTTTGAACTAAAACTAATACTTGTCGTCCACAAAGCAAGCAGAAAAAAGCGTGGCTAAGACACGATTAAAGTCAAATGAAACACGGGAAAAGAAGCAGAACTCAATTGTAAGACGACATAAACAGACAAAAGAATGGACAAGGATTAAATGCCTCCCTGAAAAATTTCTTCCTGGGACATTTTACACAAAAAAGGTACAATTTTCATTCACACAAAAAATTATAATAATAATCACTCAGGCCCTGCGTCCAGGCCCAGCCAGTGGACGGTCTCTCTCGTCCCAGATCGATACTCCGTCGCACGCACACAACCGCTTCGTGTTACCGAACAGCCCCGAACTTCGCGCAATTATTCCACACGCCAACCTGCCGAAGCCGTGGAATGGACACCATTAGCAGCTGGACCACACGAATGATGATCGCATGAAAAAGTACCAAAAATAATAAATCCTTAAATTGACCCATGAAATAATTAATTCCGTCGACCTTCAGAAAATATATGAGAAAACACAACGCTCACCTGTTCAAATAATGTAATGTACCCATATCTTTATTTAACCCAGTCGGACTTGATCGGCTCGCGTGCTTTGCAAATCTAAATACGGCTTCACTCTTTCTTCCATCATCATGAGCAAAACTCGAGAAAAAAAGTTCACATAACTCAGTCGACAAGCGGAGACATCGATAAAAAAAATCAGCAATTTTGTCCAAAGAAAGGCCGGCACTTCAGATAAAACGTTAAAAATCGTAGAAGTTTTCAAGAAGTTGCCATGATTTTTTAAATAGATCACGTCATAAATTACGATAAATAGTAGGAGTGTTAAAATAATATTAAAATGCTCGCAGAATGAAATAAAGATAAATTGTGGACAAAACAAGAAGGTTTGAAAATTGTTCGAAGCAAGCAAAAAACTTGCTATGATTTCCAAATTTTTTTAAAATTATAGTTTACTGTAGTAATGCGCAAAAAAAGAGACGAACCCCGAAGAAAAATCTTTGGAATGCTTCATGATGCAAACAAATGTTTTCAATAGCAGTGGCGCGTAAACACATTCAAAAACCTAGCGACTGGAACAAAAAAGCAGGAAGAGGATTTGCGCATAGTTCACAATTTTCTTTGTACAATGCCTCTTTGAATAGTTCGTGAACAAGATCAATGAAACATTTGACAGAGAAATAAATTTAAATAGAAAACAAATTCAGTGTCCAAGAAGGTTTGAAAATCTTTGCTCAAAAAAATTCGCTGACATGAAAATTTGATTTCTTTCCAGTTTTCACGGTTACTTCGGATTTTCTCAAAGAATTTAGTCAAGTTATCATCGAGATAAGTATTTTTCGGTACAGGTTTAATCTCAAAAAGGTGATTCTATCCCGTGCAATAATAAAAAATAAATATATCACCTGTCCCCGCTGTTTCCGTCAATCAATGACCGGGGATGTTCTCCAGATCCGCAGTCGTCGGGCCCAGCAGTAATGACCATGGATCTTCCAATGATGTCCGGTACTTTCAACAACTTATCCGACAACCTGAACGTCGCTCGCCCACTTTCATCAGCTACAATGTTCCCAAGATCTCCAAGGTGCTACAAAATAAAATCTGTAACTAACGAGATTCGATGAATGCTGTCACAATACCTAAAAACACTCACTCGTCTATCAGCAGGACTAGAAGGATCTCCATGAGGAGCATCCAAGGGATTATAATGATCTCCAACACTGCAAAAAACCATCGATTGTTAATAATTTTCATCGAAGTATCCCATTGCCAGAACTTCATGAGTAAGAACCTAAAAACCTCCGTGGGGATCATCAAAAATAAGAACTAATCAAGCCTCTTTTCAATTTAAGCCATGAGTAGAAAAAGGTCTTCCTCGCCAATTCGCAATTTTCACGTTTCACTTGAAGCATCAGAATTACTGGCACACGAAATTAATACTGTACATTTTTTATGGGAAGATTTCTTAAATTCCATGAAATATATTTTAACATTCAGAATACTGCACCAGCAAATTCATGAAACATGCAGAAGTCTGGCAGGAAAACCTTGTTTTCACACATTAATTGGGAGTAATTTCAACACTTCGATCTTCTCTTCCGAACCTCTCCGAATCGAAATAAAAAGAGGGGGAACGACTTGAAAAACGCATTCTTCACCAATTAGCAATTTTCCCTTCGAACATCACTGGCATAAAAATTAAACTTTTTGCATATCGTCATATCCGGGACGATTTCTTCAATTCCTCGAAATATTTTATACATTCAGACCAACAGCAAATTCGTAAAAAATTCGAAAGTCTAGCAAGTAAACCCTGTTTCTCGTAGTAATGGTGAGCAATGTCAACTGTTAGCATTCCCATACGAACCTAACCAAACATAAATAAAAAGAGGAGCCAAGAAACGTTCCAGTATTACACAGTAAACATTTTGTCCACCTCAGTCCATCCGTACACGAGTGTGAAACAAGAGAAGCAAGACGGGCAGAAAACATGACCTTAGGATAAAGAGACACAAAGAGGATATGCTATACGGTAGATGAATTATCGATTCCGGCTCTTTCTCAGACTCGTACCTGTCACACCCACGGGAAATATCGCCGCATTCGTGAATATGGATACCGTGTGGTCCAGGGGCGAGACCATCAATAGTCCCATCAATGACGCATTCGTCGGGACGTTCCATGGCGAAACGAACGACTCCTTTGACTGACGATGGACCCAGGAACTGAACAACCGCTGATGACTGGTTTTCCTGTCCTACAAAATTCATGATGATTCAACTGGTGCCACTCATTTCGTGACCTTTCCTTTCAACACGTCAACGAAAAATTCAATAATTAAAATTTACCGCGATCGATAGCGTCTGAGCACTCGCCGGGTAAACGTCTACATATTTTCCGACGCAATTATTTTCATTAAAATAAATCACAACTGGACCTTGTCAATTCAGAAACATCCACAATTCAAATTCCCACTTAATCCCTCGCCAATTCTCTCAAGTCCACTGCAATTCAGGCTTACCTAACTGAAACCGATCTCAGTCAAAACTACATTAGTCGAATTTTTGAGGCCTTTTTGTTTTTAAATTAGGTCTAAATTAAAAACACAGTTCCAGAAAAAATTATTTTCTTCATGCTCTCCACAAAAAAAGGCATACGAATAAAATAATCATTTTGACAAGAAAGTGATTTTAATCGTCAATAAACAAAAAATCTAATTCCTCAACTCAAAAACTTTTAGTCCCACTAAATTCGACTTAGAAAATTTGACATACTGCTGTGCATTACTATCTTTGTTAAACTTCAGAAGTAAATTGACGATTGATCGACACAGGAAAAAAGCACCCGCATTTCGCATAAATTCCCCCTAGAACTTCATCAAGGTCACTTCGGCATGTTTCACGAGTTGTCTTCGCAATGGATGACGTAGAAAAAATCAGCATTTTCGAAGCAAAGTAACTTTTTGACTGATATTTACACACGATCGTGAGTAACAAGTAAGTGGCTAAAATACAAAGATCTCTTAATTCCTCAGCTTTTTATTAAAAAACGTAAATTCCTAGAAGCCCTACCGTAACCAAGAACAACAGCTTTCAGTCCGCTAGTCTCGATCAACTGTCTCACAGATTCAGCAGGTTGATTTGTGGCCACAATAAGTCTTTGGTTGGCAGGGTCCAACTTTTCCAATTTGATGTCGTCACGATCGCCGAGAACTTTCTCAACAGTCTTCCGACAACAGTTGCCCTTCATATTGACCCCAAACTCGATCTGAAAATTTTAATTCACAAATAAATTCCACACTTTTCCCACTGCAACAAATTTAATGGTACCTTGACGAAAGGATCCATTTTGTCCAACATGGTCTTCCCACAATACACCCCCCACACGATGATCACAATGATTTCGCCTTTAATAAAATGGAGATTGAAAAGTTGATCGTCTTCCGCGTGAAAACTATTCAACAGTTCAAAATTACAGTCCGTTCCGAAAGTCGCTGTTTATTTCTCTCCAAGGAGAGCGGAAAACAGCGTCCCTCTTTCGGAAGTATCAACAGAGATCACAGCCTTTGGCAAGCGCCCACAACTTCTCCCCAAGTCCAAAAACCTCCCAACGAGCTCAACGACAGGAAGGAAATCTTCAGCCGGGGAAGGAGCCAGAAAACATTTGCCAATTCGAACAAGAACTTCTGAACTCCTGGGCAACGATCTAGAAGATTTTTCGAGGCGGGAAACAAAACCGCGAAATTTTCCAAAAGATTTCCTGCTCGAAACCGATGCTAGACTTGACTTCTATGGAGGCGGAAGATCCTTGACACCTTCTCGTGTGTCAACACGAACAAAAAGACGAAAAAAAGCGCTCTTCCCCACTTAGTCTAGATTGTTTTTCGCAAAAACGAAGGCGACCATTGCCGAGCAATCGGCACATTTTTCTGCTTTTCTTCTTGCATCTGCTGTTCAATTTCCAACTCCAACTGAAAGGCAAAAATTCCGTATAATCAAAAATGTGGGCCACAATCATGAAATTAGTTACTAATGAAGCACGAACGTTTTCCCCGAGAGCCAAAACATTTGCCGTCGCGTCAAAGAGTTCAGAATTATCTTTCACACGGATATATTTTCTACGACACAAAATATTGTACTCGACTAAGTCAGACAAGTTAACGAATTCTCGAAATATTCGCGACCTTAAGAGATAAATTACGGAATACTGTAATTGAAAATATCTGAGCAAGAAAAATAATATATTGAACTTATCACACCTGTAACCGTCGTTGGTTTTCCCGGTAAGCCTCAATTGGATCAGGAAAACTCATGTAGAATTGGATTACATCACGCACGTCAGTGACGCCAGATGTGGCGATTGCTGCAAAAAAAAAAGACGAAGCTTAGTAAGTACGATCATCAGTTCAGAAAGGAAAAATTTCTTCAACTCACTTTTCAGCATGAGTGCCAAATCTATCAATGCCCTGTCATTGTCTGAACCATCCCACTTCTTCAATAAAAGTGTGTTTTGAGGATTTAGCGACGTGGCTTCTTGGTTCCAGTCCACCATTATAACCTACAAAAACAAGACCATTCCTCGTTTTAAAAAGAAATGGATTTTTGCATCAATTTTAAAAGATGGATTACTTTCGAAAGTTCCCTATTCAGACAATTCAGGTCCTTCTTATGAACACCATCGACGTAACGGGTTGAGTCTCGGAACAGCCGGTACATGATGTACCCATTTGGGTCCAGTGTGTCCAAAATCGGAAAAGCTGTCTGGAAAGCGAATAGAAATTATAATCATTACATAGTGCACCGGATCGATACTTATACGTATGTGCTGTTCCTATCGAATGGCACCAAGAAACAGCAAAGTTGACCATCACCACGGAAATAAAATTTTAGGAAATGAAATATAATTCGCCCGTAGCCTCTGAAAATTCCTACCACATTACCACGTGTTTGAATTTCCTCAGTTTAATTAGGCCAGACTTGGTTAACTTTTCGCAATAATCCTTCATGTTTCACATCACTTCCGCGTATGAGCCGTTAGAATAAATTCAGTGCACGAAAAATTAAAATTAACATGAATCCTTTCAAAAAAGGAAAAATATACTCTGCCGCCCTCTCCAATCGTAAAACACGCAAAATTCAACTTTTTTTCCAAAGCCAAACTCACCAATCCCTGCTCAGCAGTGTAGATGACAATCTCAAAATGCGGCGGACCCACTTGTTGCAGGAAAAAGTCAACCCCAGGCCTCTTCTTGAATCTCCATCCCGTTTCATACTGCAAAAAAAAAATCGTCAACAGGAAATTTCGAGAGATAAAATTGGAAAAAATACGAACCGTCCAATCGGGATGGACGAGAATGTCCGTCATTTCCAAAACTAGCGTCAACGGGGGTTGATAATATGGTTCTGTCAATGGATCCGGAAGCAATTTCGATCTTGATGGATCTTTGATCATCTGAAAATATGAACACACGATTCAAGCAGAAATTTAATGAAGAAAAATAATAATGTGCTCCTCAAAAATAAAACAGGTCGAACAATAATTAAAACAAGCAAAAAATGTTTGGTAAAAATATGAAATTTTACTCGAAATTACACGAACTATGCTTTAAAAAATTGCTTTTTTCACAAAGCTTCGATTGATTACAGGTCGAATTCTCGCCCATCCGATGACCCTAAATACTCACACGTTCAATCAAATTTTCAAATTGAATTGTTCATAATGTGCGTTTTCTTGGATTGATTCCTATATTTTTGAAAACATCGTATTTTACAGAAAAAATGGTAGATCAGAAAAGCAAACCTTGTTGTAATTCTTAATCTCATTCCAGGCCCGGTTCAAGTGTTGTTGAACAGTCGGCAATCCTGAAAATTCATCCACGATCAATTCTCCAGATTCATCTCGTTTCGGCGCACCTAAAATTATCAAGAAAAAATATTGCATGAATGTATTACAATAATTTCAGCTTCAATACTGACCCCATTCAACTACAACGTAAAGAAACGAGGAACCGATCAGAACCCCGAAGAACAAGAAGGTGTACTTCATGACTCTCCACGAACTCTCCCGCTTCTTCCGCTCTTCTTCGCTTTCGCTCGCCATTTCATTGATATTCATTTTTGCCTGCTCTTCCTTAGATAAGGTCACGCCCGTCAATTTGTCATTAAACAAGACGCCACTGATCGGTTTACTGGCGTCCGTGTCAATTTTGGACCGCAACTTTGACCACGTGGTGAAGGATTTTCCCTGATTGCAACCCAGAACACTGCATTTGACGTGTCCATGAGTGAGGCTCGACAAGCAACGCGATGGACATCCACGATTCACTATCGTAACATTCACGCAACCACGAGACTTGGAGGTTAGAAGTTGCTTGAATAAATTTTGATTCCGCAGGATTAATGTCACGTACGTGGAACCCATATTCCCCTGAAAGCTGAAAGGCATAACAAGTGATCACAATTGAACACATTTTCACTCGCGACACGATTTCCGTAGAACAAACGATACTCCAGACATTCGCCACTTACATAGACTTCAAGAAAAAAACGCCCCATTAAAAATATACGGAAAACACGCCGGAAATGCACTGCAACGCAGGGACAAACCATCATCACAGGAAATGCGTAGTTAAACGCTTTGAATACCTGCGACTCATCAACGCTCCTTGAATCACAGCAAATAAAACCGGCGCTTTCGCGAAGAAAGCTTATATGAAAATCGAGAATCATCACACAGAACCCTCAACATCGCAATCCATTTAAAACGACTCAGCTTTCATTTCACGTCAAGAATTTCGTAGTTTTCATCGATAACTGCATTTCTTGAACCAGGAACAACTTCGCCGATTATCCACGCTTCTTTACCGTCGAGCTCTTGTATCTCATCGCAGAATTTTTCGGCATTGCCCTTAGGAAGGCATACAAGTAAACCCCCTTGAATCGAAACAAAATGAACAATTGTATTCCATTCGCCACAGACAAGAAACATCAATTCCTTTATAAAATCATAATCCTTTCAAAAGTTTCCTCAGCTCTATTTTTGCAATAATCAATCATCTTCGGCGGACAACAATAAATTTCCAAGTACAGTAACCTCAAGACATACATAACCGACCATTTCTTTGGTTATTTCATTCTGCAGTACGTGACCTCGAAAAAATCCCAGATATTTTATTTATTTATCTATGTTTTCATTAAAAAATCTCACGTTTATCACGAAATATGAGAGGTTAAACGATATCCTTTATCCGTAAAAATTCGGATACAGGATATCGTTTCAATTCAAGCTAGGAATATTACCGGATGTTTCGGCTGAATATCCTCTCCGAATGCCGAACATATCATTGAATGCGTCGGTCACTTCCCGCATTTTTGCTATCACAGGCAAGGTCTTAATGATGAAAGTAACTTCACGGATCTGCGATTTCGCTAAATTATCAGCGTGCCCCAGTATCCCGAATCCAGTCACGTCAGTCGCAGCAGTGGCCCCGTATTTTTTCATCAACTTGGCACCTTTAAAAGGATAAAGATTTTAGCATCGTAAACAGTTTTTAGTCAAAAACCTTTTAAGACATGTCTTTCAGCGACACAAGTACGGCATATTCTTGATTCATTCTTTTTTGAAGAAATTCGCACAGAATATAAGACAGAAGTGATGGTTATTTTATTAACGCTCAAAAAAAGATGAATTGATTCATCAACCGACTGACTCAATTTCAAAGGTACGTCAATTTGTTAAAGCTTCAGAACCTCGTAATAGAAAATTCCGACTGTATACAATATATATTCAGACATTTTTTCTCGCGGCCTACGAAGAATTTTCTAATTTTGAAGGCTGTGTTAATACAGGACCAGACATTTTACAAAATTGAATAATTTCTGAGCTCACCTATACGATTCAAACGTATCATAGATGCGGTCGCACTCTCATACGCTTCGCAAACTTCTTCAAACGAGGTTATTTCCTTCAATTTCGGCAACTTCGGGTGAATTGGATTGCAATACCATTTGAACGCGTTCACGGCTACTTGAGTTCCAAGCGGTTTCGTGAGAACAATAAGGTCTCCGATTGATGCTCGATCTGGTCTGGATTATTCAAAAAAATTAGGAACCAGGAACTGAGAGGTTGATTTTAATTTCAGAAGAGAAGTACACATGACCGATAGAGATTGGAATCACTGTATTTTCTGCGCATTCTGTTTCCCTGGGCTTTGTACGATTTATGATGAAATTGATGGAAAGTTATTCCGAATTATGAATGCTTCTTACATTGAATGCGCTCTTCGTAACACGCTAACAGTGATTAGTTATTGCTTACAAGGAAAGGGTCTCAATAATTGAGAAAACCCGAGAGAAGACCATCAACAGAATAAGTCTCGTTCGGCAAAGGAATGGGTCATGGATGCTTTCCTTTTTCTGGCTAATCATCTGGGTGCAGAAATCCTGTCACCCGAGGTTCAAAGCTACCTGAAGAATTCTTCTTCTGTGCAAAGAGATGAAGCGACTCCTCCAATTATCATCCAAGGATTGTAAGCGGTGTGACCTCCTGTAATGACAACCCCAGCATCTCGGGCACAATGCTGCAACGAAACAATGTTATCACCTCTTCCTAACCCATAAGTTCTTCCAATATTAATTTCGCACCCGAAATCCAGTGATCATCAAAGGTATGACAATATCCGCTTGTTCTTTGCTCATTCGCTCAGAAATGCCCAAAATCATCTGCATGCCATCGCACTGGTCTACACCGATGGCATAAAGATCACTGAGCACGTTAGCACACGCAATTTTTCCCATGGTGTATGGATTCTCAATTAGTGGATAAAAGAAATCAGTTGTTTGAACCAGAAAAAGCCCAGGATGCCGGCTCTCTACCACTGCAGAGTCCAAGCCAATGCCTGAAGAAAATCAATTCAATACTTGATTCGATGCATTCCGAACGTTGAAATAAGTGAAAACGTACCTATCTTAACGGAAGTTTGCGCGGAAACATTGCTGGGATCTACGAGGTTTGCAAGTCCCCCAAGTAAATCCTTCAGGACCGTCTGGGGGACTAATAAAAGTTTTGTTCTATTAAAATCAAAGCAATTCGCACACAACACGGCACTCACCTTTGCAACCTCATCCTTTCAGATCAGATAAAGAGGTCAAGAGAAACGTCTCGTCCAGGCCATAATCCAATGGATTAAACATTCCCCCGGAGGGTAGCACCAAGTTCTCCGTCATTGCAACCAAAATTTCCACACGAATCGCTCCAAGTAATTGATCTAAATTAATTTTCAGCCCCTGAATGGAAGGTAAACTTGTTAGAACTGGACCGGTTAACTGGGTTAGACGGCTTATCACTCGCAGCGCCGATATGCAGCTGATGCAAAATTCAACAGAGGTCACCTCGAAGGCTGCTACACAGGATCGATCCTTCGAAATAGAGCGCCGCGGACACTCTCGCCGTTAACACGTTCACAAGCATGACTGGCGCGCCAACCCAAGACCTCACACACGGGTGGATCTATCAGAGAGCTACCACTTCACACTATTCCAGGCAGCGCGTATTACCTTGATGTAACCTATGGCAAATTAATAGCGCGTTTGGCAGCGACGGAGACTTTGGAATCACCACGTTGTGCGTTTTTCAAACCTTTTGTAGATGTCACTCTAACCATTCAGTTTCGCATATACTGTACTCGCCATTTTCAGAATCCTATGGAATGTTATGTTTATTTCCGAATAAATCTCGCTAGCAAGGAAATCAATCAATGTTCCATACAAATACGGTATGTTCAATAAATAAGTTAAATCTTAATAACTTTACCTACAATTCAAGAAAAACTTTTCCATACTGATGTATATATTACATGACAGCAGGATTTTTTCCTTAAAACTATTTACAGTATATACAGTGTATTCTCGAACTCCTGCATGGAACTTTACATTGTAACAAGATTCACCCATAGTGTATATACAGTACAGTACACAAGCAAAACAAGTCAATTAACCTCTCAAACATTTAAGTCAAACACCCTAATTCAAATTTTAGTTAATATCCCTGCATGCTCCATGGCTGGATCATTTCTTATTCAATTCTATTGCGAGTTGAATCTGATCTCTTCATTAAAATCTTTTGGTTCAAGCTGCCCTTATTCAAATTTATTGTCAAGGCATTAATTTTTGTCGCAGTATTAAATTTGGGATACATTTTAAAACACATTTTCCATATAAAGCAAAAATATGCAAATTTATGTTTATGCTTTTTGTACGAGGTGATAAACATATCTGCCGTCTGCACGTGCAGAAAGGCTATCATAATTATTTTAATTACATGAAAGAAAAGAATTTCCAAGAGTTAATCTACATGTATACAGTACAATAAATGAAACATTTTTCTCCTGCAATAGTATAACTACACAACAAAACAAAATTTATATATTTTTGAATAATAAATGACAAAAAATTCTCCTGAAATAACTACAGCAAAATTTTCTACGCTGGAGTTTTTGCAGAGGTTCAACAGATGCTGGTATACAATGCAGTATTCAGCAGTACTGTATACAGTACATAGTTATGTATGCAGCAGTGTCCATCCTCTGGTCTGCAGAACAGCACGCCAGTTAACAGAAGTTTTTGCAGTGTTCTGCAGGGCATTTTTCATAATAATTGTATCAAGAGTAAAAATGAAGACTGCTACTGCAATCCAAAATAAAAAAACACAACATTTCCACTGCCATTTGAGAGATGACGGCTGAAATCATCTAATGAAAAATAAAAGTTAGTTTTCCTCCTGATAGCATTTCAGACATATTTTCACTTGCTGAAATATATTAATTCAAGTTTTGAACCTGAGAAATTTTCTTGAAGCCCAGCAGCATTTTATTTTTCAAGACATTCCACTATACTGTATATAGCTGCATTTTTGGTTATTTGCTTAATTTAGCAATGCAAGTTTTATTCTGTATGGCAGGTGTTTAAAAAGGTGTCTGCTGATTGTCAAAAATTTTATGGAATGTTGCTGGTCTGTTAAATATTTTAAGAAAATCTGCCAGTTTGTGGAGACTTGCATGAAAATGTGCAAGAGGTCCACAAGCGATTTTAATAAAATTTGCTGGTTCATTTTAAGCCCAATCAGGTTGAGGAACAGCATGCACTGCATGGTACACATTACTTTCCTCACTATGCTGCTGGTACATGGAAACATCCTCTCTTCATTGTCATATTCAGAGTACAGATCCTGATAGAGTTATACACAGAACACAATCCCATAATATTTAAAAATCAATTCCTTAAAAAATGTTAGTCCCATTCATGCAAAAATTTACAAAATACATTTGAAAAATGAAATTCTCCTCAAGCGCACACCTTTTAACAGTCAGGGCAATGATGAATGCTCAATTAGAAAAATATAATGCTCAACAATTAAAACAATTAACTTACTTTATATAGATCATGGAAAGTATTGATTTTTTGCTACAGTGATTGGACTCTTAATAAATATAGGCTGCAAGAAGTCAGTTCAAGATTCAGCTTCGGCGACTATGCTTCCACCAAATCTTGGTTTTAAAGAGCTTCTGGAGTAATCTTGAGCATTTATATCACTGCCACGGAACCAGGAAGGCTCAGGAATCTTCTCCAAGCTGTAAGTCATCAGGCTTTTGTAGGAATAATTCCAAATCCAGGAACCATATATTACTGTCACCAACAAAGCCAGGACACTCCACCCACAATAGTCAGCCCACTGTAAGTAAGATGTTAAGGTACAGTATAAGCAAGCTAAAAGAATCTACACATGAAAAGTATGAACAGAATATTTACTAACATGAGCAGGTTGAGGCAGAGAATCTTCCAGCATTTTTCCAATCATGTGACCAGTGGGATTAGGCAGATACCATACACCAGCCATGACTGCTTTGAGGGGATGTGGCGCCTTTGGAGAACAATATTTTTATAAGAATTCATCATGATACATACAGCAAAGCGATCCCATATAAATTTAGGGAAATTCTGCATATGTTCACCTCTCTGTAAAATATTTGAGTGCCAACAGGCCATATAAAAGCCTCTGCTGCAGATGACAGGAAGATCAGAGCCAAAATGTAAATAATATTCACACTGTTTGGCTCTGTTATTGTAAAATCAACTGTTTCAACTCCCTGAAATGTATGGGACATACTTATAAGGTATATACTCTGGCATGATGTTGACCAACCAAATTCATACCTTTGAGTCTCTGGTTTTTGCATGGAAGACAAAAATAGTGTACTTTCCTCCAGCTTCAAAAAGTTTATTCCCAACCATCTCAGCATCCACAAACAGCCTGTACCTATATCCATTTGATGATTAATTTTTCCTGAGAGTTTCATTCAAATTATGGTGTGTGTATAAACATGATTCATACCTTTTTAGCGCTTTTACTTCAGCATAGTTTCCAATCATGGTTTTGTAGTCACCAAGGTCAAGAGTCAGGGTTAACTCATCTTTGTTATTTTCATCTCTCAAGAATATTTTTTCATGCAAATTTCCTTCTAAAAAAGACACAAATCTGCAACAAACCTGGATTATAATCAGTACATATGGACATGCTAGTATAAATACAACATAAACTCACCTAACCACAGGATTTGCAGAGGATGGTTTTTTCACTGCCTCTTCATCATAGACAGAGATTTTTGCAATAGCCATGGGATCAGCAGATAGGAGAAATTCTACTACCTATTTACATGCACAAACAAATTTTGATTTGAATATTTATTCCAAAGGAAGTCTTTATAATATTCTACCTTTCCTTCTTTACCCTTGGCCATTTTTATTTCTTCAACTATATGCTGATTTTCACACCATAGCTCCAGTATGTAGTTTGTTTTCAGATCAAGCCCTTCAAAGATTTGAAATTTTCTTGCTTTCACTACCTCAAGGGCTTTTTCCTCAGAAGGTGGAGTTACCCTGAATGAAGCATTTTTGACAGAAACAGAAACATCTGCATTCAATGGATTCAATAGAAGAATGGAAAAGTGATTCCCTGCTGGTCCACTTGGGTCTTTAATCTGAAATATAGAAAAATAACATCAATAATGTCTTGATAATGTAAAAGCAAATTTGCTTTTGAAGGCTTTTCATGAAACCTGTACAATCCATGCAAGTATGGCAGCACAGAATCCAGATAACACCAGGAATACCAGACCAACTACCATGAGTCTGAGTGGTTGCAGCCATTTCCAATTCCTTGCTCTGGAAATTTTGAATAAGAACAGCAGAAGAATCCCAAATACAATGCATAAGCAGTGGAAGACCATTGTGCAAAGCAATCCATCAATTGCATAATCTGCTTTCATTCTCCACAACAAATGATCTCTCCTTCCAAACTTGAACAAAAACCAACTCAATCATTAAATGAGCTCTCCAATAAAAAAAATTTGAAACTCACTATCATGGCATTGATTGTCCAAATCAAATAGAAAGGCAGTGACAGGAAAATCAAATCCCAGCTATGTTTTGAAATTGTTATAGTCTCCTCATCAAATCCGCTTTTTCTAGAATGATCTAACCAGTGGGGATGTGCCTGGTCTTTTTTGCTGCTCAGTCGATGAATTGCACCTTTCTTTGAAGCATAAAATGAATCACACAAATGAGCATTTTTTGGATCAGAATTAAAATTATTGCATGATGATGATGACCTTTTAAATAATTGATGAAAGGTGAAAGGAATTGTGATAATTATAAATAAATATGAGATGTTAAATGGTTCTAAGCATACAGAATTTATTATATCTTGAGCTCCCAGTTGGTTTGGACCTTTTCCCCTCCTATCCTACATTATTGGAGGCTTCTCTTCTTTTTTTAATTTTCCTGCAGGATTGAAGGGCACAGGAGCTGTAAAAGGGATGTTGTACCAGTCTTCAACATCATTTGTATGGCCTTGACAGATAAAGAGTTTTTCAATTGGCATTTGCTACAACTTCAGTCATGGACAAAAGTCATTTGTTACAAGCCATTTTCTAAAAAAGGTTCTCTTTGACAAAAGTTATGGAAAATAATAGCTCAAAACTCTTTCACAGTTAAGACCATGCAAACACTGCAGGAAACTGCTACATTATTTGTACAGCTCCTGTGCCCTTCCATCCTGCAGGTACAGTAATTACAAAAAGAAGAAAAGCCTCCAGCAGTAATTTGGGAAGGGGAGGTCCAAACTGAGAAAATGTCCAAACTCACTCTGAGCTCAAGATATAATGAGGTCTGTGTGGAAATGCGATGTAATCCCTTTGTATAAATGACATCCATCATTTCTAAAATTATCCTCACCCATGAGCAGCAAACAAGCTTTGACCACAGTCCACGGAATGGCTCCAGGGTTTTGTAACAAGGTGCTCCACCAGCAAACACAACTATAAGCACAGTAAGTAATCAACCAGCATCCCTATTGCCACATATGATGGTTCGAAATATGATACTTACTAAGTCCAAAAAATGCCATTATGGTGG